AATTTTTTTACTGAATTTTTTACACAATATCAATTTTTTTGTTGAATTTTTTGCCGCAATATGCAAAAATTTTTTTGTCACAGTATACAAAATTTTTTTATTATCAGATTTTGTGTCAAATTTTTTTCACAGTATGCTGATATTTTTAGTGCCGAGTGGCAGCAATCGTAAATAATTCGTCAATCTTTTTATTATTAATTTTTTCCAAATTCAGCAATAATTCGGCAGCCAAATGACACAATTTCAACTAGTGTATTTATATGAATGTAAATTATATATACGAAGCATTTTGTTATTCATTTGGCTTGCTATTGGTTTTTTATTCTTGCAAACAGAGTGAAAATATAATACTATATAAGATTTTTATTAATTTTTTTAAATGATGTTTTATAAATTTTAGAACAATTTATGCATATTAAAATTAAAAAATTTTTATTATTTTTATTTAATCATTTAATAAATGTATAGAATTTAATTGTTTTAAAAAAAATCGAACATAAAATTTAAAATATACAGCATAATATAAATCTACTTGAATAAATAGTATGTAACGTTCAAAATCTTCTAAACATAATTTTGCATTTAGAGCTAATAACTAATGCGATCCTCTCGATAACAAATACAACCACAATTTTAAAACTTATAGCACTAATTAATTCACATCTTCTATCAATGTTATTATAGAATACAAAAGATTTCAATAAGAAAAAAACAACATTCAATTTAAGATCGCGAAAAGCTTAAATTTGCCTGTTATCCAAATATTACAGCGGAAATTAATTAAGTTACGTAGTCTCTCTCGGTCAGCTAATCAAATGCGGTTCCATATGAATGATGAATGCTATGATCATTGAGGTAGCTCAACGAATTTATTATAATAGCGCCACCCTCACAAATTAAAATGAATATACAAATATATCATTACAGGAAAATAAATAAAACAAAAAAAAAAAAAAAAAAACAAAGATGCAATAATGATACCCAATTTTTATTATAGAATGCCACTATCTCTCAGAGCGTTCTGTAAGATTGTTTCCTTTACAGCGGCGAAAACAAGCCTAATTTAAAACAAGGCATCAGCAAATTTAACATACGAAACGAATTTACAGAATGAGAATCATTGAAAAACTAACCGTATCTTCAAAAAAAAAAAGAAGGTAATACGCAAGTTTCATTGAGTAAAAAGGTTAAGAGATACAAATACAAATAACATAATTGGAACTTACATTTGATGTATCAGTTGCTTGTGTAAGACTGAATAATAATATAAATTATTATTATTTCATCACCAAATATCCATCAATAAATTGCGTAAGAATAATATAGGTACAAATATAGATACAATGCACTCACTGTGGATATATATTTAGCCGGGCTCGATTTGTCTGCGTAAACCTCCATAATATATATTTTGTAGCTTTATTGATATCCGGGCCACCTGTTATATTACAAACATTATCCATTATATTGGATAAGTCTGGACAGAAAAACGTCAAAATCATTATATAAATCTTATACCAGAATACTCCGGGAAAAAATTTTCGAGAGGCACTCGTGGCAACTTTTGTCTGAATAAGTCAATTTTATTGAGGAATAGAATAATTGAAGTTCGTAAAAACCATCGACTGTTGATTACTGATTCAAACAATACTAGGCTTTCCTCCATTCTATTCTAAAGAGATAAAGTAAAATATATACCAATAAATTTCAAATAAAAACTTACTGCCTAATTCTTGAAAATATGCACAATACCTGGTTGGATTCTTCCAATAATTTCTGATCATATTCGCTAAGTGCGACACAAAAGATGATAGATGTAACGGCTTCAAAACAATGAATCCATTTTTTTCGCTCTGATCTTTGCCCACCTACATCAAACATACTATAAAGGATAATTTTAATATTTAGAAAATAAATTTTATATTTGGTAATTATCGTCATAACATACTGTATGTTTAATTGTCCCATATTAAATCTTGTTTCCGTTATACCAGTAGTTTTAGTTCTTGCCCTAAGTACATCAGCTACTATGGGAATGTAGCCGGGTGCTCCAATCCGCTTTACTTCCATAAAAAAACTAATGAATATTCGGTAGTGATTAATAAATCAGTGTTATTACAAAATTTGGTTTGCCAGAAGCAACGATATAGTCATCGATGTAGCTCATACTCACTAGGGTGCAGAATCCATCATATAGAAATGAGTTTGATTATTTAAAATCTCCGGTATTATTGGATCATGCCATATGGAATCAATAGCATCGACTATTTCTTCGCTTAATTGAAACGCCGGGTCGGATTCAGTATTATAATCCAGAATTTTATCGGCAAAAACCTAATTTTTAATGGATATAAATTCATTCTCTAAAACAATTATGATAAATAATATCAAAATATATATACTTTGTTTTCTGGCATTCGAAATTCAAGTTGAAATTTCTTGGCAGCGTTAACCAGAGAATGTGCTGATTCAATCAGGTTTTTATAAACTGTTAGTCGATATTGTGCTAACTCTTCTCTGGTATAACCATTTTGATGTATTATTTTCATTTGTTTAACTATTGTTGATTTTCCGGATTCTCCTGACCCTGTAAAAATGGTAATTTCACAATTAATATTATATATAATTTGTCCAAAGAATGAAAAATTTTTAAAAGCCATGGGTCCTTTCGAACTCTGTCATGGCCCAATTGAGACGGTGTTAAGTTATTAAATCTGATGATTACCTAATAGAAGAATTTTACATTCCTTCTTGAATCTTCGGCTATCTTCTTCAATCTCTTTGTCAATTTGATAACTCCGTAGCCGCGATTCTTTCTCTTCAGCAGATAAGCATAAACCCATGGTGTAATTGCTATTAATAATTACTTTCACTGAAATAAGCAAAGGCAATTTGGTGTTGTCATGTGGTGGGTATAATATAAATAGAATCGTCGTGTGAACCAATAAATTATTGCTTTATTAATATTTAAACTTAAATTTTATTCAAAGTTTTTTAACAGATTAACTAAGAAAATTTGTAATCATATTAAGATATTAAATAAATATTTGCAATATTATATTAGACTTTCATATAATAAAAAAACAATAAATTGTTAAATGAATATATTGAAAAAATATAAAAATAAAATAATTTATATTATATTTTTTATATGATTTAATAATTTATATTATATTTTTTATATGATTTAATAATTTATATTATATTTTTTATATTATTTTTTTCAAATCTATTTTTTAATATTTTTTTAAATAATTTAAACTTTAATTAATTATTTCAAATAATAATATTTTATTTATTTTCTTTCTTTACTTTATAAAGTCTTTCTAATTTCAATTTTTTTATAAAAACCTTATTTATGAAAAAAATTTTATATAGTATAACTATATATAAACTTTTGTTAAAATAAAATTGATAAATTTTTTATATATTTTTGAAATATTATTTTTTTATTTTTTTATAATAATAATTAGTCTGTTATTTTTAAAAGAAAATTTTTTATAATTATTATTTTTATAAATAAAAATAATATTATAAATAATAGTTTTTGAAAGATTTAATATTTTAGCTATTTTTCTTTTACTTATTTCATATTTCCTAGTTTTAATAATTTTTTATATTTAAAAATAGTAAATTCTTTTTTTAGTAATAATTTCTAATAAAAAAAAACTCTTTCCATTAATTCACATTTTTCAAAAAATTTTCTTTTTTGATAATTTTCTTGAAAAATTTACAAAAACTCTTCTACATAAGAGCAAGTCTCAGAGGATACAATAAAACACTTCTAGGTAATAAAATTTACATTGTAATAATAGAAAAAGAATTTCATTCAACTTAAAAGATAAATATCTCTAGATTATTTTTGTTTTTAGAAAGAAGAAAAAACAAAAATATGCTAATTCATAGTAGATTTTTTGAGACTCAATCTCAACTTTACAAAACTTTTAGCTAGGCCAGTACAGATTAATACCTTTTTAAGTATTAAAAGAAGTCTCAGAAACAATAGATTACATCAATAAATCAGTACAATCTTAAGACTAACTGAAATCTAGAAGAATATCAAAGTTTCTTTGATCAAATAGTTAAAAGATCACAATAATACAACAACTTCAAATTAACTAATTTATATTATAGAAAATGAATACATTAACTTTTTACCTACTTAACATATATTAAAATAAGTTGATTAATCTATAGCAAAACAGTGGAACATAACAAATCAAAAATTAGAATGTGTATGATTAACCAACTTATATTATCTAAAGCAAGATCAATAGTTGATTACAGTTAGTTATGTGTTAATAAACAAATATCAGATGTATAAACACATAAAAGTCATATATTATAAACTTCTTGATATTAATATAGCAACTTATTGCCATATTTGCCAAACAAAAAAATAATATATAATAGTATTTATCTGATTACGTAATTAAAAAAACACTATATAATAATAATATATATTAATTTTTTTATGTATCACGTAACAATATATCAATAAAAAAACAAACAATAATCAGGATTCTATAGAGAAGAAAAAAGGAACTATTGAAAGTATTGAGAAAAATGGCTTTTTATCAAGATCCTTAACAAGTACTTTGGAAAACAAAAATAATATAGTATAAGCTGGAATCAATAGAAATCAATTAATCTTATATTTCTACTGAATCAATACATGTTTCCTTGATTATAGATAATATTATTGCCAATTTATTAAGAATAGATCTATTAATTCTGGTAAAAGAATATATGTTGTGATAATATATTCTTATTTTTTGGAAAAAGGGCAAGATAAAAAAAAAGATTTAAAAGTACCTATATTAAAAGAAAAGGTGTATAATATATTGACAAACAAGTCAGTAATACAGGCATTAAGCTCTAATCAAGTTAAAGTTACTATGATGAAAAGCATCCTATTAAAAGTTCAATTAACTTCTATAGAGCTCGAAGAAGTACACTCTATTAAGAAAGTTATAATGGAAAATAGAGCAGTAATGGAACAAATAGAATTGAAGTGTTAAAAAAAACAATATAGGAAAATTATATTACAGACAGTATGTCTTATAATACAAGAAATAGAGTTCAGGGAACAATAATAAATTTATTCTTTATAAAATAATAGGGATTAATCAAAATAGGAGTATTCCAAGTTATATTGTTAGAAGAAAATAGAGAAGAGGAAATTATGTATCTCAAAGGAGCTCCAAAATACCTAAGAGCATGAATCCCTTCAAACCAAAATTCATTAATAATAACTATTAAATTATATTTGACTTTGATGAAGAAGAAGATATAGTAAGATGTCTAAAGACTGTTAACAAAAAAGAAGCTAAAAACTTTATATTTAGAAAAATGAACAAAAATATAAGTACATGACTAACCTTCTAAAGATATACTTAAAACAAAAAGTTTTTCAAGCTAGAAAACTTTTCATTAGTCAAAAATAGATCAAAATATATTATATTGATAGATACAGATTACAAGTTTGACAAACTTATGATTAAACAATCAATAGAAAAATTTGGAGAGATTATCAATATTTATGAATATAAAATATCTTTTTATCAAAAATAGTTCAGAGTTTATCTTTATACTTACTGAGAATATATCAACTTGAATAAAGAATAGATGATCAAAATAAAATTCAATTAAGTATGATTTGTAATAGCTCACAAGGAACAAGATAATCAAGAAATTACTTAGATTCTAAAAGAAAAAAAGAGATACTCCTTAAGACTTTATGGAGTTGATAGATTATCTACAAAATTTATAAAAAAAGCTTTAAACCATATGAAAGTTAAGGCCTTTTATATATCAAAAAACAAAATCACCTAGAAATTAGACAACTATGTAGTAGGGTACTTTAAGAATGAAAAAGATCTAAGAGAGGCACTCCAGTATCAAATAAAGATTGACAATCAAGGACTAGGATGAAGTGCAAAGAATTGTTATTATCACAAGGTATTGGTTAATCTGATTAAGTCAGGTAATACACATATAATGATTAAAGAAGCAAGGGAGCAAGATTGCAAAAGTTAAAATAGAGTAAGTAAAGATAGAGAAAGTAATAAAGATATCATGGTAATTTAAAAAGAAATTATATTGACAATAAGACTTAGAAGCAACAATAATCAACCAAAAAATAGAAGAAGTATAATAAGATCTATACTATCAGTAACTAGTAGCAATAGGAAGCCATTAAGGAGATGAAGACATTAAAAAACAAATCAAGCCCTACACCAGGCTTCACAATATTCCTTAGAAACAGATGATAAAACTTTGAATACTAGGTGATATCAAAGGCAAACAACATGATGAAAAACAAAAAGCCTAAAATCAACTGCAAAACAAGAGTCGAAGGTAGTCCAACTGAGTAAAATATTAGAGAAGCTTAACAAACAACTAGACCAACTAAAGAAAGATCCACTTAAAAGAAGTACCAACGGCTCCTAAAAAGAATATATCAGTCCAATTACAGAAAGAGAAAGAATATAAGTATATTATTCCCAAGTCCAAAATACAAAACAAGAGCAAAGTATAATAAATAGAAAAGAATAATAGTAGGTGGCAGCAAAGTGATCAAGATCTTGATATTTTTCTGCAAATAGAAAAAGATAAATTTCTAGAGAGAAATGGAGAGGACCAACAGATAAAAAAAAAAAAAAAAGAAGATATATAGAAAAGGGTAATTAGAATAGGGATACACAATATTAGAGATATTATTAATAGTACAAACCTAATATAGTCTTATAGAAGAAATTCAAGAACAAGACATTGGAATAATAAGATTATATGAAACAAAATTAATCAATACAAAGGCAAAATGGATCTTTCAAAATCAAACAACTTTCAAGCATTTTTATAATACTAATAAAGACATTCCATATAGCACAAGGGTTAGTCTCTTAATAAGAAAGGATCTAAAAAGAAAAATAGCTTTAATAAAAGAAACAGAAGGATACATAATAGCAACTAATATGCTCATAAAATGAAGCAAGATATGTATCATTCAAATTTATATTCACTTAGAAAAAATAATAAAATATAAAGATGCAGAAAAGAGTACAAAGTTTTATTAAAGAAAAAAACAAATAAGACTTTTATATAATAGTAATAAAAGACTTTAATATCCTATATAATCTTGCAAAAAACAAGATATCAATATATAAAGCTAAATTTAAACTATTTTGACATCTGGAAATACTACTATTCAACTTTTTAGATGAATAGTTCTTCCTTGATATATAGACTATATAGAAAAGAAAAGATAAAACTCCAACAAAATAAAACATTACTAGTAGTAGTCAGATTGATTATATATGAATATTTCAAAGCCTTACAAACTATTCAATGCTCATATTTGACAATCAAAGTATGGAGGAAACAATAGGAAATAATTATACTATGCTAGTACTGACAATACATAATACTATAAAGAGTAAACAAATAATCAATATAAAAGGATCAACATCTGAGCAGTAGAAAGCATTCAGTAAAAGCCTAAATCATAAACTCAGAATGGAAATAAATTCATTGATTAAAAAAGAACCTGAAAAAGATAAAAGAGAAGCTCAAGTAAACAATATTTGGGGGATATTTGAAGAACAAATATATAGGGCAGTACATAACAAGCTTGCAATTAAGAAGCTATTGATTTTTCAGGAAAAACATTATAGGCATGGGCCAGAATTCATCAAGTATTAGAGAGCTCTTCAACTATTTGTACTCTTTAAAAAGGCAGAAAGTATACATAATTCAATCAAATTGCAAGCCCTTAGTATAGTGATTGGAAAATATAATACTACTTTAGGTCCTAATTATCAGATTGAAAACTACTATATCC